TTAGTTCTTGTAGGGAGGGTGGGAGAGAGGAAAGAGATAATAAATCAATCCCATTGCAGCAGAGGGGCACTGCAGCTCCCCTTTGCTCACTTTCAAGTCACGTTCCTGGGAGTGTGTTGTGGGCTTCTCCAATCATTCTGCTTCATTTCCACCCCACCTCCTGAATGGACTTTCTTCCAGAAATAACTGGCTGAATGCAGACACACCTGTATTTGGTTCATTATCTTAAGCAATTTTGGTTTTGCCACTGATGTGTTTTCTAGATAAGTTTAAAAAATGTTATTTATTTAGCTGATAATTGTAGCCCTGGAAACTAGATATGTTGTTTGTTTCATTGTAAACCTAGCTGCATGGAAAAGTTACCCCTAGGCACTGACAGCTGAAAATTTCCAGGGCTGGGACTCCTATGAAGTCCTGAGGCAGCTGTTCTTCAGCATTTTTGCAGTGAGCATATGTATTTGTGCAAATAGAGCCTACAGAACAAAGTGCACCATTACTATTCTTTTTCTCACTTAGGCTTGAGCTAAGTGTTACAGTATGTATTTAGTTGTATTTTAAAACTATTTAAGGAAGTTTCTCAGCAAGAATTATAATCGGTCATCCCTCTGGAACACGGCAACACTGCTCTGTTATCTCAATAGATCATGTTTTTATAGAGAGTGATCTCTTAATATAGGATATTTAGGATAAAAATTTTCACCATTGCTCAAACCTAGACTTTTGCTAGCAGGGTAAGCTCCATTTGAGTCATCTGACTTTTCCAGCTTTTTTTAACACTATCATATAGAAACTCAGCATAGTTACATGCTGTAAGAACCAGTTTTAGAATTCATCCCACCTTTGCTTGGCATAGAAGATCACAAGCCAGACCTATGTATTCCTATATACTTGGCCTGACTCTTGATATAAAATGCAATATTGTCAAGGCAGTTTTCCTTTTTTTTTTTCCTGCAGTTTCTTCAAATGTCTGATCCAGCAGCTACAGCTCTTGTCTCACTACTCTGTGACTACAAGAAAGTTGCTACTATATGTATGGACGTTCTTGCAGCTGGCAGCAATATACTACTGTTATTTTTCACACTTCTTTAAATCAAAGGGCTATCTAACCTTTTTTAAAAAAATCCATTGAGTATTTTGCTTTGTTTGGGAGGTTAAATAAATTCTTGCTATTTAGTGAAATAAAATGTTATTGCTTAAAGTATTTAAACGTTATAAACATTGTCCAAATGAAACCTTCAGTTTTGAATAGGTTCAAATACTTGTGAATTCAAAATCTGGAAATGAATTTTGTATTCTAGCTTTTTCTCTGTGCAGAGTATATTTTAGTTTCTAAGGAGGCCAGGTTTGTTCTTACTGAATTTACTAGCAGGACTCCCGCTTGAGTCCTGGCAAAACGTTCATGCCAACTGTGTGGGAACATGTGGGTATGTGTCTTAAAAATAATTACACATTGCAATCACTTTGTTGACTTTTCTTCTAAAGACTTAGAGAATCCTAGTAACATTTTTTTTGTAGCATTGGAGATGCGGAGAGGTAATGAAACAGAACTGATTGCCCATGCCAAAATGTCCAAATGCCTTGTGCTCTGACCATTGCTGTTGGGATGCTAAGCCGTTGGTAGCCACTGGGAAGTGGTTAATATTAAACTGCAGTTTAGACATAGTATTAGTTCTCTCATTAGCTAAGATTTCTAATGGCATAGAAAAGACAGGCTGTCTTAGAGGAAAGTTGGCTTATGATGGGTGCCAATTTCAACATTAGTTGTCAAAAGCAGAAAATATGAGCTTTCACTTTAGAATAATAGCTGTCAAAATACAAACCTACTTCTGAGGATGGAAACCCCTCTGGTTTGAATTGTCCATACCCTCTAATACACATGAGTTGAATGCTTCTTTTTTATCTTTTAAAAGTCTTGATAGGAGTAGTTTTGGTCATGGCATTGTGAAGTCTGCTCTCTTCTCTATCTTCAGGTTGACTTCGTAGCAGGACTATTGAGAGGCCAAAGGTAACAGTTGTGTCTAATTACAAGCAACATGAACTGTGGACACAAGAAAGAAGCAGTAGCAGGAACCCAGCTGTCAACCTCAGAAAAAGGAAAGAACCTTCCACCTAGGAAACAAAAAGTGAATAATAGGTATGAATTTAGGACATTACGGTTCTCATAGTAAAAATCCATTAGTAGGAACAGTTGAAAAAGTTGAAAAGAAAAAGCCAAGGGATGAGAAAACATGAGTGGAAGTAGAAGGATATACACCTAACGAGAAGTTCTTGCACTTGTTTAGTGCCATGAGCTACTCAGATACGGTAGGGTTCAGGATGTAAAGAGAATAGCTGTTATAATTCTGTCCTTCTCCTTCCCTGCCTAGAAGAGCTGCAGGCTTCAGAGAGTTTCCCTTTTTAGAACTAAAATGGGATATGCTTCCTTGAGGAAACTTGCCGAGCGTCACTGGTCCCTTTCCTGGAGTAATGTGATTTTTGCAGTGAGCATAACTTACTTGAACACTCTGCGTTGCAGAAATGGAAAATTTTCAATCTTAATTCATAAGAACTAAATTCTGAAGTTTGCAGTCTTCATTCACATTGCAAACACTATCACCAGATCATATTATTTTTGTTAGTTTTAGTCCATTTTGCATGTTTCATTAGCTATAAGAAAGGTGTGGCTTTCTTGGTCCTGATGTTTCTCCTTTTTAAAAGCGTTCCTGTTGCAGATAGCAGTACAAGCCTAATTCTGGATTTCACAGCATAGTGCAGTCATTTTTAGTCATGCTAAATGAATGTAAAATTCTACTATGTGTCATCTGCCAGGTTCTACCAGTACAAGTGACTGTAAGATTGGGTGTTAGCACGTTTTTTTGGTTTTGTTTTGTTTGGTTGTTTTTTTACACACCCTCATCTATGCACCTTAACCATTCCTAGAGGTTCTGCCTTTATAATTTTTAAGTTTTCAAGTTTTTTCTTTACTGGCCTTACTGCTCAGTCTGCTAGCAAAGATAAAAATAATATAGTTGTCATTAACAGTAAGAATTGTATACAAACGCTGGGAGGTGGGGGGCAAAAGTTAAGTCTGTCTATATATCTCTATATTAGAGATATAACAATTTAATGAATAAGTCCTCCATTAACAATTCAAAACAGGAGGCCTGGACAAATTATTCATTGCTTATCATTTTGCCTTCCTTTTTGATAGCCTTAGGGCCGATTTTGCTCTAAAATCTGAACAGAAACCAACAAATTCACTTCATACATGTATCTAAATTGAGATGGTAATTTTACTCGAAGCTGCAACATTTACAGTGTCTCTCCTTGAAACCTTGCTACTATGACTTATACAAGTAGAAACACTAGAAAATGTTTCCAATAATTTATCCAGAGAAGCATTTTTAGACCACTGTATTTGAAATGCCTTGTAGAACTTTACTGGTGTTACATGAGAGATCTGGTATCTCAGGGAAACAGACTATCAAACATCTCACTGAAACATCCATAATGTCCTCTATTGGAAGATGAAGGGCTCTATTTTGCAATTTATCCAGCATGTCATAGAATACATGAAGAATAAGTCTTTTCCTCTAAGAGGTTGAAGAGAAAGAGAGAAAATGTATTCATAGAAAATGCTATTAAAAATGTCATTAGGTTCTCCTAGGATCTAATTATAGTAGGTATTTCTAAATTCTAAAGTCAGTCTAAATAGGTCCAGGCTTCTTAACACTAGACTTCCTCTTTAAACTAAAAAGTTGGGGTTGTTCGGACCTACAATATCAGCTTAAAATTGCCTCCCTGCTATTTTGTTAACATAAAGTACCCTGTAGGTCACTCGCATCAGGATAGAATGTGATTAGCAAATCCAGGTTTTCAAGCACTGTTCACAGGACCCCTTGTGAAACAAGCCATATGTGTGTACAGCATTCCAAAACTGATTGTGCAAGTAGATGTGTTTGCCTGTATCAAGCAGTTGAATATATAAGCATGTAAATATTTTCATTGGGAGAATACATGGGGTACTTCTGTAAATATTGGTTATTCTTTCACATACACCATGCATATAGGCTTGTATGAAGGTTTTTGATCACTGAATGATTAAGACAAGAAATTATAGTCCTATATCACATGAAAGAAAAGTCTTCTGGCATTCCATATCTTGGAAAAGTCCAAAGTGTCTGAATTTAACCTAATGTTCCTTGTCAGGAAGCCAGAACTTACGGATTCCACAACTGTTCCTGCAGACAGGTTCCTGAAACCTGACTTCATGTACTAGAGTCAATATTTGTTTCAAAGTCTAAAGACCACCTGTACTGTAAACATCTATGAACCACTGCAGCAAGAACTCTCTTAGGTAAAGACTTTTTCCTAAGGCACTGAGGATGTCCTAATGTTTTACATACGTACACTAATAATGTCATAAGCTGTATGAATGCAGAGGATCCCAAGCTACTAGGAAACTTCCAAGGTTCCCTAGCCAAATTGATACTGATTTATAGATCTATGGCTGTACCGAAGTTTAGTTTGGTCATAGTGGCATAGTTTGCACAGGTGATCAGACCTGTCATTAACAGTAACGAGTCCTAACTATTCCCTCAGAGAGGAACTGGCTGTGCAAATATCTTAGGTGTGATTGCACCCCTTGTAATTGAAACTAAGGGCTGTGCTTTAAGCTGCATGTCAGATGGCAGTCTGTCCTTAGCCAGGCAACTGACCATGGAAACTGGAAAAGACATACAGAAAGCTATCCACACCTTTTCTCTGGAAGGTTAGCGAAAGATATTTCTAACTGAAGACTTTTCCATTCCTGTCCAAGGCATAACTTAAACAATGAATGGGTTAATTTTTGAAAATAAGTATCATTAGCTAAATGCTAAAGCTCTGTAAGTTATACACTGTTATGTTTACTTAAGAAAAGCCTTTTGTGGTTTGAGGCAAAGATGGAATAGCGCTCTACTCTCTCTCATCCACCTCCTTATCATTTATGGAGAACCCACAGAGTTTGTGATTCTATTGTTACAGGGCACCATACAGGCAAATACTTGTACCTTGCTCTGTAAAGCTTGCAACTTAAACAGGAAAACCTGACAAAGACTAAAGGCATAGCTAATTTTATACCAGGATGGTTTAATGTTGTTTATAGGAAGCAACAAAAATTAACAAATATTTCCTTATGAGTGAAACTGTGCTTAACTAACACCACTATTTTTCCATTCTTTCTCGTACACCAATTCTAATTAATGAAGACTGATTTAGAAAACAGACTCTCTTTTATTTATCATTTTCATGCATGAAACTGAGGTATCCATCTATAACGTGTTGACAATGTCTGTCTTTGTGAACAGGTATTTAATACATAGACCTTGTGGAATGATCACAGGGTTGGGTTAAATATAAGCAGCTAGGTGTCTTATCAAGTGCATAAACAAAAAATAAAGTAGTATTCAATTCCATGTTGTGTTCCAGTTCAAAGGAGAAAATGCTCCCTGTGAAATTAGTATCAAGACTACTGTTGACTTTAATGAAAGCAGGATTTGGTCCTGAAAATATTTTCTTGTACTATAATTATTTTCACAGAATGGTTGAGGTTGGAAGGGACCTCTGGAGGTCATCTAGTCCAACCTCCCTGCTCAAGCAGGGTCCTCTAGAGCAGATTGCCCAGGATCGCGTCCAGGCGGGTTTTGAATATCTCCAGGGAAGGAGACTCCACAACTCCTCTGGGCAACCTGTTCCAGTGCTCTGTCACCCTCACAGTGAAGAAGTTTTTCCTCAGGTTCAGATGGAACTTCCTCTGTTTCAGTTTGTGCCCGTTGCCTCTCGTCCTATCGCTGGGCACCACGGAGAAGAGACTGGCCTCATCCTTTTGACACCCCCCCTTCAGATACTTGTACGCGTTGATGAGATCCCCTCTCAGTCTTCTCTTCTCCAGGCTAAACAGGCCCAGCTCTTGCAGTCTTTCTTCATAGGAGAGATGCTCCAGTCCCCTGATCATCTTAGCAGCCCTCTGCTGGACTCTCTCCAGTAGTGCCATGTCTCTCTTGTACTGGGGAGCCCAGAATTGGCCTTTTATGTAGTTCAATTCCAATTTGGAATTTTATATGTTATATAAAGTGTATATATATTGTATTCTTCAATTATATCCTAAGAAGCAGCTCAAAGTGGTTATTTCATATTCCCTGGCGCGTGCTACTTCCTGACAAGGCCCTGAACAACCTGCTCTAGTTAACCCTGCTTTGAGCAGGGGGTTGACTATAGACCTTTCAGCCTCAATTATTCTGTGATTCCATGATGTGTCTGGAATAAAGAACCTGAGGTCAAACAGGTGCAAAGAGGACAAGCACATAGGAGAGGAGCAAAATGAATTTTCTTCTTTGTTAATATTGGAAGAACCTGGAGAGACTTTTGGAGCAGTGGAGGGTAAAGCAGATGGCAGACTTACCAGAGGATCTCTTTGAAGCTGAAGTAACTGTTGAATAAGTTAGATAGAATGAACACTAAGAAATTGTTATGACTAGAATTTGCATTCATCCAAAAAGTTCCAAGAAAACTCAAGGATGAAATAGCTGAATTGCTCATGGTAGTATGGAGAGGTTGCAGGAGATGCTGTACTCTAGAGAAGGAGAAAGATTATATGAAAGGAGAAATGCTGGGTGAAAGAGGATTTACACCCATCTGTGATCCCATAGTACTTGCTGCCTCCTTTCCTTGTACAATCAGAATCTGTTTTTCTGCCCCATTATATTTGATTTTGCCCTGAGTGGGCCAGTGAAATTCTACACCTGCACATCTGAGAGGCCTTGAGCCACTTAGATTTTCAGGTAATGATAGGCAGAGGTGAGCGTTCTGAAACAGCTGAGAGTTCTGTGTTGAGTTCCTCATATTCAAGCTCTATTGCTCTGACCAGGCTTGTCATTCTTCATGCAAAAGAAACCCAACCAAAAAATTTATTTATGATAACTTTAAAAACAAAACAAAACATGCTACCCCGACCCTGCCTCCCCCAAACCAAGCATACAGGCTAAATCAGATCTTTATCAACAAATCAAAAAACCCTCAAAGATGTCCCTGTGAGGGCTTCTGTAATTTAGTACTTCTTTATAATAGGAAAAGGATGAACTGCAGTAACTCCTTGAAAACACACTATTTATACTGTACGAACTACTAGTAAATAGCACAAATAAAACTAGTATTGACTTTATAAAAGTTTTTTTTTTGAAAATACTTGGAAGAGTCTTTTACTTCCATAGGCATAAATCAGGCATGAATTCCTTGCATGATTTTGTAAAGTGAGAATAAAGTAGCAAGATAAGAAACTTAAACTGTTAGCCTGTTAAACCTTTAGCTTTCGTATAATAGTATCTTATCTGACAATAAAGATGAGAGAAAAAAACAGAATAATTTAGGAAAACACTTTCCTATGTGTGTTATTTGTATGCATGAAGTATTTCTTTATATTGTTAAAATTAAGCATAAGTTTGGGTCCTTTAATGCTAATGGAATTTTAATGTTTTATCATGTAAATGCATGTTCCCTACAAATCAAGCCATTTTCCTTTGCATTTGAAAGTTGTGGTCAGGGAGCCTAATTATGTAGTGTAAGCAATGGTTTTCCCAGACTCTGATTTTAATCAAGTAGAAGTTCTTAGGAGTGCCTTGATACCTTCTCCTCTTTTCCTAAAATAAGTCACCTAAGAGTTAACCAAAACAGTGAAACAGTACAAGTGAGTAAGTCTAAATCTGTACTACTTCCAGTGAAAACATGATTCTTTTGGAGGTGAAGTGACTAGGTTTTAAGAATAACCTGTCTCCTTCCTTCCCCATCTACTGAGATAAAGTTCTCAAGTGTTCTAAGTGACGCTATTAGCTCAAACGTATTTTCTTATTTCTACAGATACCATTCATCCATCCAGGCTCCATTCTCAGTGGTTTATAATTATAGTATATATAATATAATATAAATAGGACATCAGTAGAGACAGGTGGAGAGATGGAAGGATAAAAAAAATTAAGTAGAAGAAATGAAAAGAAAAGGCAACATGTCTTGCCCAAAGGATATAAGCAAGACAAGATGAGGGGAGGGGAACGGGGCAGAAAAGCAGATAGAGGCAGGAAAGGAGAAGGTGAGCAAGTAAAACAAACTGATAAGAACATGTCATGAGAGGTCTAGGGTCAAGACAATTTATCAGTCATATCTGTCTAGAGAATCAGCAGCATCAATAGCAGCCATTCATAAAATTCTTTTCTCAGTTATATGTTTTTCACTTCATTATCTTCAGGGCTTTCTCAAGGCTGCAGTAAAACCATATATTCTGACAGCGGGCAAGTCTGTTGTTCTATGAACTAGAAGGGGGTTATTTTTGCAAAACTACTAGGAGTTAAAAGGAGCAAAAACATGGGATGGTGCCTCAGATAAAGACTCTTGCAGGTAGAAAGATTCACATTGCTATTCCAATGGCTGAGGTCGACATTACAGTTGATAAGAATAAATACCTAGAGAAATGTTCAGAAGGACAGTGCTATTTTTAAATCATGATTTTCCTATGTTTAGCATCATTTCAAAGCACAGGAGACATACTGATCGAGGGGATTTTTCCCATTAAGCATATTCTGACTAAATGTCATGGAATGTAGTATAAAGATACTTCATACAGTGATGGGCACTGTAGGAATTATAAAGAGATTAGCAGAGAAATTGACTTTCTTTGGGCTCACAAGTCACAAAGCTGTTGAATTTTGCAATAAAGTTGATAGACGTTTTAGGAGCCTGTAACATTGATAGGTGATTCATTATCAGTAGTATGTAATAGAGAAAAATACTGGTATCAATCATTATTTTACTATTATCTTTTTTTTTTTTTTTTGCGTAGGCACATGAGGTAGAGCACAGTCTTACCTTTTTACAAATATTTATCAAATCAAAATATCTGGGAAGAGAAGCCAAATTAAACATTACCTAACCCTACAGTGGTTTAGAGTTGGTCACAGATATCCTGGAAAAGAACATACCGAGATGCTTCATGGCCATGAAGCAAATGTGTTGCTCTGGATAGTAAGACCACACCTGGAAGCAGTTCAAACAGGAGATTTTACACAAGTTACATGAAATGCAGCTGTGCAGCATTTCTAGAATACTATTAATGCAGAGGCTGTTTCAATTAAGGGTGACCTTCCAAAGGTCTGTAGGACCAGTGCATTTAACTAGCCAGAAATATAAGTCCTAAGAGAGGTGCTGCAAAGGCAAAATAAACAGCAGGCCTACAAATTGATTACTTGTGTGTCAAATTAATTGCATTCTTCAGCATTTTAAGAGCATTTCAGTTGGTTAAGAGAATTATGAGAGGCCCCTTTCTGCCTTTTCCCTAAATGTCACCTTAAAAAAAATCAAACACTTATTTTCAAACTGCAATTTCTGACCTCCCATGGTGTTGAAAGCCAAGAAAAGGGGATCAGAAGCAAGAGAGGGTGGAACTCACAGGTTGAGAATATTCTATCTTGTCTGCTTTTGCTGGAGGGTAACTTGTAGAATTAGAATGTAAACTCTTACGTGTACAAAAAGAACTTTGGAACTTTGTCACAGATGTTTTATCCATCCTCATCATGCCTTTCTGTGCTTCTGTAAAGAAAAGCATTTGCGTTCAAGACTGCATGATTATCACTGGTGTTATTTTACTTTAAAAGTTAATATTTTTAAATGTTATTCATTAACTGGGGTTAATATAATTAGTTACTCTTTGGTCTTCTAATTTTTTGTAATCTAGATTTGTAGGTGCTGTTAATGCATTATTTTTTCAGACTGGGATAGAATCTTAGTGTCAGTGAGGTGATGACAGTTTACTCCAAAGAAAACTATGCCTCATAGCATGTATTTGATTTGTGAATTCTGCATTAAGTGCAACCAGTGCTTTTTGTTTTGTTCACTCCTATGAAATGGCTCCTGTGCAGCAGAAAACCAACAGGATGTTCTTTGAAATGAACTACTCCATGCCAATGATAATTGGAGATGGGCCAATGCTACAGCAGGTTACTGGTGAACATTCACAGGAATTGGTTATTGTTTTCAGGAATGTAGGCAGAAAGTGAAAATATTCTTGAATTCTTACATAAATTTGTAGCAATACAGAAATTTGAATTCAAGGGGCTATACGAAGTGATTTTTTTAAACAATATTGACCAAGAGTTTGAAGTAAACTAGCTCGGTTTCTAAGCAGAAGAGTGGCAAGAATTTCATTGCTGTCAAAATTGCAAGGGCTGTGGAACAAGCAGTATGTTGTTTGTTCCAATCCAAGTATCGGGTACTTCACTTGTACATCTGAGTAAATGATTAAAGGAGTACGATTCAATGGTTATTGAAGTAAAGGTGAATTTTCCTTTTGATTTTGGAAGACCAATGAATTGGTCTGCAACTAACACCAGAATGATTTCTATAAGTGAATTAAGAATAATTACACTTTTTTGCTGTAATGGTTCAGTAGTGCCAGGGGTTTTCTGAGCCTGGTTCATAAGTATGTTTACTTGTGATTTTTATACTAACTTACAGACATGTATATCCCCAAAACGCCGCCTGTCTTTATGCCTGTCAC